CAGCAAAAACCCTTGTTCCTTCCTATTATGGCTTATACTCTCTCTACAACAAAATTAGAAATAAGGGCAAAATAGTTTCTGCTGGGTATTGAGGGGGTTGGGGAGAGGGAGGGGGCAGAGTGGTGGTAAGGGAGGGGGTGGGGGCAGGGGGGAGAAATGACCCAAGCCTTGTATGCACATATGAATTAAAAAAAAAAAAAAAAGAGGCAGGTCTACAATCAAGTTATCCCTGTAAGATAAGAGAAAGACATCTGCTTGTGCATGTAGTTTGTATTTTCAGACACTTCCATTTTTACTTAAACTTTATTTTTATTCATTTTGTTGCAAGGATCTAGTAAAAATCCAAACTCAGCTTCACAACAGCTGTTATATTCATGTACGTGTAATTGCAAATTCCATTGATATCTACAACTTTGTAGTATATTTTCATTTTCTTATATTTTATTTTTTTATTTATTTAATGTGCTGGGAATTGAACCCAGGGCCTCATTCTTGACAAGCACTCTGTCACACCCCAGCCCTGGAACTTGTGATCCTTCTGTCTCTGCTTCCTGAGTAGCTGGGAATAATACAGGCATGCACCACCATGCCTGACTATATTTAATTTTTTTTTCATTTGGAAAAAAACTAATGAAAAAGTTGACTCATATTTAATAATGATGTATTTCCAAACAGGATTCTTTAGATCTGAACCTTCACTTTTAAGTCTAACCCATTAAAGGTGACACTTGTATTTGTGCATTACCTTGTAGGACAGATGTCATCCTACTGTTATAGGTAGTTTCCTAAGAATGCTGTACAGCACCATTCTTCCCCTTTCCCACAGAAGTCAGGCTCTTAATGCAAGTCCTGCTCCAGGAGTGACTCTGTTTAACGTTAGGTACTTCTTTCGTAGTTCAGAAGAAGGAGCATAAATACACACAAATCTGCCGACTCCTGATACGCCATTTCTCTTGTAGGTTGATAAAGAGACAAACACAGATGAAGCGGTTGCTGACAGCATGGCGGTTCGCCCCAAAGACCGCAGTGGCCTGGCCTCCCGACAGCACCCCTTTGTGCGGAGCAGCGTGATCGTGCGTTCACAGACCTTCTCCCCAGGCGAGCGCAGTCAGTATGTTTGCAGGGTAAGGTGACAACACTCCTGATGAGGCACTAGGAACTGTGGCTTCTGACTATAGACACAGTGGCTAGCTAGGAATGCTGAAAAGTATAGATAGACTATCACGCTTTTAGGGTTCTTTTTAGTTTGTTTCCCCACACATTTAATGTCCTGCTGGTTGTAATATGATTGATTTGGCAAGCAAATAAAGTTTAAGAATCTAGATGCTAAGAAGTTTTGGACTTCAGTCTGTGTTTAGAAACATGAAGTGACTTAAAACATATTTTGTGGCCGGGCACGATGGCTAAAGCCTATAATCCTAGCTACTTGGGAGGTAGAGATCAGGAGGATTACAATTAGTTCATGAGACCCCATCTCATCCAGTGCCTGAGCACACCTATTATCCCAGCTATGCAGAGAAACACAAATAGGATTGCGACTCAGGCCAGCCCAGGCGTAAAAGGAGACTGGAGGCATGGCTCAAGTGTTAGAGTGCCTGCCTAGCAAGTGTAAGGCCTTGAGTTCAACCCCTCTAGTACCACCAAAAAGAAAGGTTGTTTTTTGCTCTGTATCATACATGCTTCAAACCGTGTTAATCTTGCTGAAGTGAAAATTGTGGATTTGGATTTTAGAACAAAAATCATCTCTTAATACTGAATCAGATTCATAGTTTTATGAAGAAAATGGGATTTGTGTCAATTTATCAAATTCTACTTCTGGAAGAACTTATGATTTATAGTAAGAGATTTAATATTATAAAATGGGTTAGAGGTACTTTTAAAATTCTAAATTTATTCATTCAAATCAAAAAATATTTTTGCTGGTCAGTTTCCTAGTTATTTGGGATTCATCCAGAAACAAAGGAGAGCCAGACCCCTGTCCTTTTGCAGAACTTTCATTCTTGTGAATAAGCCAGCCATGATCAATAAATATGACCAAGCTGTGACATACCTTGGGTGGGGACCAGTGTTACTACAAACAGTAGAGCAAGCTAAAAGGAATGGAGTGGGAATAGGCTTCAGATAGACTTCCTTGAAGAGGTGGCATTCAGCAGAGCCTTGAAGCAGGTGAGGGCTGAGCATGGGCTGCCTGGGTCAAGAGCATACTGGACAGCACAGACCATCTTCACTCTGACTCAGAGCTCAATCCTTCATGTAAAATTTCTTTAAAGAAGCAAATGTTCACTGCAAGTGCAAAGGATCCTTTTATTTAAAAAGTGTATAATTAGCTTAACATATGACTTTTGATAACTGCTACCAAAAGTCAATTATTTAAATTATTTAAGAAATTTTAAAAACCTGGGAGATTTTCTTAAAATGAGCTCATTGTTTGGGGGATGTAGCCTAATGTGCACGAAGCCCTGGATTCCATCAGTAGATCTGCAAAAGAAGAAAGAAATCGGCCCATATTTTCACTACCTGCCTTACTTGATAAACTTCTAGACTCTTAACTTCCTCTATCACTCTGTGATGCAGTGACTTTTTTTAATCTTTTGTTGCCAGTTAAATCGGAGTGACAGTGACAGTTCAACCTTGGCTAAAAAGTCACTGTTTGTGAGAAACTCCACGGAGCGGCGCAGCTTGCGGGTCAAAAGGGTATGTATTTGTTCAACCACACCCCCTGTCCTGCTCCAGTCCAGATTCATGGATTGCAAAGCAATCATCTATTGAGTGTCAGTACTCTGAGCTCTCGAGCTATTGACTGAAGCCCCGGTGGCCACACAGAGATACAGACAGAGCCATAGAGGCTGTGCTCGAGGGCATCTGGGCATCAGTGGTCTGGAACATGTGACAGTTGGGCTGGCAATTAGTGTACAGTGTCTGTAGAGAAGGGGTTTGCTGAGTCTTCAAGTGCATCAGTGGGTTGGACACATGTGGCTGCAGAGTTTCTACCCTGTATCTAGCTTGTGAGTAATCAGGGAGGAGTGTGAAATGTAGTACCTTCCCTAGAGGAGAAAACATTCTGCAAAAGAAGAGCACATAGATTTTTGTGCAATTCTACTTTTCTTTATTTTTTTACACACAAATTTTAATATTTGCTTCAACAGGTATTTTTAGAAGGTTAAAGTTAATGTGGGTAGGACAGCTCAGACCAAGCTGGAGGCTATTAATCCCTAGCTGGGCTTTAAGGACGAGTCTGAGAGACTATTTCAGTACATGAAAGGGTTGGACTGTGCAAGTAGTTCACAAATTCCTGTTTACTTCCAACAGCTAAAACATTAAAGGAAAGCTAGTTTACATCATTTATTTTGTTTTAAAACATGTTATTTGGTAGGCACAGGGCACCGTGTATGCTGAATTCTGTTGGTGCTGAGGTGGCCATCGTCTGGAGAAGGGACTCAGATGCACACAGGACTATTGAAAGCATCCTGGGTAGGGAAGGAAGGAAGTAACTCTTCTGAAGAAGAGTCAAAGAGGCCTCAGCAGAGGTCTGGGCCAAGGCCTGGATAAAATTTCAAAGGAAAATGGTAGCTATGGCACAGGTAGATGGTATAGAGAAGTGATGGCTATAGTGGTATGAAATGACACGGGCAGGAAAACACATGAGAAGGTAGGGTGTGGAGTGCTCAAGTCCTGCCAGAGCCTTGGCATTGCAAACAGAAAGATGGGGCTGGGGGACTGGGAAGTAAGTCAGAATAGTCACCTTCAGCAGTGTTGCTCTGGTTTCATGCCACCACTGCAAGCTACTACATGTATGAGTGGGTGACTTTTAGCCTTTACTGACTTGAAGGTAATAAAAACATTTCTTTGGCCTAAGGCCAGTGCGCCAACATTATTTTGCATTAAGCATTCAGAATTTCTAGGAAATTGTGAAATATAGATCTTTCAGCTTGCCAAACTTTGTGTTAAAAGCACCTAAATTTCCATGACCTTGAATGAAAATTCTTCTCACCTTCTTTCTAAGTCACCTAAACAGCATGTGCTTCTCAAGGATGGTAGCACACTTTGGAGACATTTTAACCCGAAGTGTTGAGGAGTTGAATGGAGCTGAAAACAGTTGGGTTGCTCATAAACTTACACCAGACAAAGGTTAATCTTGAAACATTGCCTAAGTTATTTTTAAGTGAACATAAGGAGGCAGATAGTCCAATAGAAATGAGTGAAGACTGGCATTCTGAGAACTCTGTAGAGGTCTAAGAACAAAGCATCTCCAAAGACCAATAAGCGCTTTACCCAGCTGGGAAGGCAGAGTGGGCCATGGAGTCATGAAGTCAGAGGGTGCCCTTGGCAGTGGTGTGCTGGACCCTCCTCATACTGATTCTCAGGAGCTAGCTATGCACCTCTCTTCCCAATTTAGTGACATTGAATAGATAATGTGAGAACATTATAGTAAGTGGTGACACTGTAGAAATCAACAAGACCTCACTTCCTAGAGAGTCCATTGTTAAACCTGTACCAGCACACCACTGCACACAGGTGCTGTCGAAAGACTCCATGTACGTAACAAACCCTGAAATAAGAAGAGGCTCACTCAAACCCTCTCCCTTCCGTGGGTCTTAAGCTCCTCACTTGTCCCAGATCTTCAAAGTAGAACACTTCCGAGTTCAAAGCTCTCTTTTGTGTCCTACTGCTGAGAATCTAGATAAGAAATACCTCTGTACCCTGTGCTGATGCCATCTTACCCACTCTGGCTTAAGTTCTTTTCCACAAGGGAGTCTGACACATTGCTGAGCCACCTGTCCTTTGTCTGACTTCCTGTGCACTTAAGACACTAATTCAGTTTGCTGTTGCTTACTGTCTCACCGTTCTCCTGTCAGCATTCTCAGGGTTGGAGATTGCACGCTCCTCTCCTACTGTCCTGTCTATAGACTCCCAGTAGACATTTATTCATACATAGTAATTAGTCCTTGATAAGTGGGCAGGTTTGGCCCTGGGAAGAATAATGGTGGCTCAGTGGAAAAAGTAGATAGCACATAATGGGGAATCAAGGAAGGAGGTGGAATTCAAGCACACTGATTGGAGGAGGGTCAGAATCTGAGGCATCTACTTTATGGCCAACATGCACAGAAGTAGTAGCAAAGGTGTGAGCTGTGGGGACAATTAGATGTCTTGAAATGTTACAAGTTTCTTGTAACGTGTTTGTTTTTCACATATGGCAGGATAGACTATGGTCACCACCTTTAAAATCTCTATGGTTTAAGATGATAGAGCTACTCGGGAGATAGAGATTAGGTGGCTCACGAAAAGTTTGTGAGACCCCCATCCCAACCAATGAAATCTGAGCATGCTGCCACACCCCTGGCATCCCAGCTAGGTGAGAAGCATAAATGGGAGGATTGTGGTCTGCTGCCAGGGTATAAACTGAGACTCTGTTTGATAAGTAACTACAGCAAAAAGGGCTAGAGGCATGGCTCAAGTAGTAGAGTGCCTGCCTAGCAAGAGTACAGCCTTGTGTCCTAAAAAGAGCAAGGTCCTGACTTCAAACCCCAATACTTCAAAAAGAAAGAGAAGAAGAAGTAAAAGATGGTATGGGTCCATTCCTTGCTTAGCTACTAGTTCATGGCAGGTTGGCTGGGTATCCATCCCTGCTGATCTCACTGGAGACCAAGCTGATAGGGCCTACCTGTGGATCTTTGCTGTCACAGGAGACAGAAATGCGACTCCCCCATAACCAGGGTATTCTGTTTTATTTACCCCTTCAGACGGTTTGCCAGCCAGTCCTCAGAAGGACAGCCCAAGAATGCCCTGTGCGCACATCTCTAGACCTAGAACTGGACCTTCAGGCCTCACTAACCCGCCAGAGTCGCCTCAACGATGAGCTGCAGGCCCTGAGGGACTTGAGGCAAAAACTGGAGGAGCTGAAAGCTCAGGGAGAGACTGACCTGCCCCCAGGTGTGCTAGAGGACGAGAGATTCCAGAAGCTCCTGAAACAAGCAGAGAAGCAGGTATGGGCTCTCTTGGAGACTTGGGCTAGCACGGCAGACCCTGGTTAAACCTGCAGTAGGAGGGTCCCAGCTTACTGCTTTCACACCCTTTCTGGTCCTCGTCATTTCTCCTCAGCATTCCTATGTCAACAAATGATACGTTTGTTTGAGGTTTTCTGAGTAGCTCTTTAAGTTACAGTAAGCACATTGAATGTAAATACTCTAATTTTAATACTCCTAAAATCACACTTCACTTACTGGCATTCTGTCTTGCCTTTCACCCTACAAATATTTACAAAATGAGATAAAATCACTGACTAAAAAATAAAATTTGGACTTGTGGTGGTGGTGGTTTTTTAACAGGGTCTCCCTGTCTAGCTCAAGCCTCCAGAGTGCTGGGATTGTAGGTATTTACCACCACACCTGGCAAAGTAGAATACTTAGAAAGGACTGTTTCCGTTGTTCTGCCACCTAAATATTAGTGACTTTTTTTAAAAAGCCTCACGAATATATTTCCGCATAGGGATGTATATTCACATACATGTGTATTCTACAAATAGAATTTCTCATATAGCTGAAATAGTTCATCTCCTTTAGGTGGCTACTTCCTTGAACTAACAGAAAATATTGCCCATAAAAAAATTTTCTTTTGGGCCCAAAATTTATTTTTTAATCTTGAATTTGTAAAACTTAGGAGGAAAATTTAAATCATTTAGCTGACTAGTGCTACTAATCCTAGATGGATTTCAGAAATTTAATAAATAAATTTCAAGAATCACTCTGATATCAATAATTTTTTAAGAAACTCCGAGCAACAAAGCATATTATCTAGCTGGACATGGTGGTGTGCTCTTGTAATCCCAGCTACTCCAGAGGCAGAGGCAGGAAGATTATAAATTCAAGGCCAGCCCGGGCAAAAGTTAGCAACACCCAGTCTCAAAACAAAATACAAATGAAAGGACTAGGGGCATGACTCAAGTGATAGAGGACTTGCCTAGTATATAAGAGGCTCTGGGTTCAGTTCTCAGTACCACCGAAAAAAAAAGTATTACCTGTCTCTGTTCTGTTCTGTCTTTATACAGATTGTACCTCAAGGAATGTTTGTCCACCATAGAATTGAATTGTAGACCTTACGTTTGACCAGATATTGAATCCAGGGTATCTAAACACTGTCATGATAAAGGAGGTGACCCCCACTCACAAGAAAGATCTATTCTGGGAGACAGGAGATGTGTCATGGTGGGGCAGCATTTAAGCTGGTTTTGAGAGCAGATAACAGAACCGGAGGAATGAAGATCCCTCCAGGGGAGAGGCCTGTAGGCTCAGAATCACTGGTTAGTAAGGTGCAGATGAACACCAGTCAGTAAGGGGCCTGTGGGCCAGAGTGGAAACCTGAGTTGAAAGCTAAGTGACCTACTCTCATGTTTTTAAACTCAGCAAGAGTAACCATCATTTTTATCCTCTTGGACCTTCTAATTAAGCATCAGCAATTAATTCAAACTCATGTTCTTTTTGAGCAACTGTAATATTATAGAAAAACATCATAGTCTTTTGACTCTTATGGGTAAAGACTTTCAGAATCAAAGTGGAGGTTTACAACTGTACTTATTTCTTTGGGGGCTTTGCCACTTGTTTCCAGTTTGTCATGACATGAAATTCTAGATCTGTAAATATTAGTAATTATTTGTAAAAAAAAAAAGACTTCGGGACTTTTTCACTTAATGCTTAGATTCATACATAAATTGCTTGTTATTTCAGTTTTTTAACTACTAACTAATCTCCCTTGTGTAGAAAGAAGCTCAGTAAAGCAAAAAGTCAGCTCTTAAAAAAACTGAAAATAGATAAACCTCTGGCAAGGTTAATTGTTATGGTTTTAATATGAAGTGTCCCCCTAAAAGGCTCCTGTGTTGAAGGCTTGGTCCCCAAGCTGGTGGCGCTATCGAGGGGTGATTGGCTCATGAGTGCATTAGTCTCATCAATAGATTAGTCCATTGATGACTTCATAGCTGAATGGGCTATTAGGAAGTTGGGTGTAGCTAGAGGAAGTGGGTTATTAGAGTGTGCCCAAAGGGTGTCTTGTCCCCAGACCCTTCTTCTCTGCCTCACCATGCAGGGCCCAGAAGCAACAGAGCCAAGTGACCACAGACTAAAACCATAAGCCAGAATAAACCCCTCCTACCTTAAGTTGTTTTCCCAGATATTTTGTCATAGCAACAAAAAGTGACTAACATCGGTGAAGAAAAGATGAAAGTAAAAAAGTATTATAAAAGTGTAATGGAACAGAAGTACAGATAAATTTGAGATTTAAAAGATAATTGAATATCGCCAAAAATATATGCCTACAACTTAGACAAATATCTAGGAAAATACACAAGAACTAATTGAAGAACTGGGGAAAGGTTGAAAATCTTGTATCTCTAATGAAGTAGCAGCAGTGATTAAAATCTATCTGTAAAGAAAACATAAGGTCTACATATTTTACAGACAGCTCCACCAAACTTTAAAGAACAGCTTGTCTAAATTTTATACACTGCAAAAGAGAGAGCATGCCACACTCATTCTGTGTGACCAACGTTATGATTCTAAAAGTAAGCAAAGACTTATCAAAAAGGAAAATCCCAGGCCGGTTTCATTTGTAAACATAGGTATAAATATCATAACTAAAGCACTGGTAAATAAAATCCAAAAACATATTTTTAAAAAATAGATTTTGATCATGTTGAACTGTGAGAGGATTTTTTAATTAGAAAATTTTATTAATATAATTAACTACTTTAAGAGATTGAAGAACAACACTATTTGATCAACTCCATGAATGCAAAAAAAAATTGATAAAAGTCATACTTATTCAGGTTTAAAACTCTCAGGAGGTTTGAAAGAGAAAGAAAATTCCTTCACTTGGTAAAGAATCACATAAAGCAAATGTGATCTTAGAGAGACAAAAATTTAAATCATTCTTTTAACTGAGACACAGACATTCAACACATTCAACATTGTGTTAGGAGCTGTGATCAGTGCTATAAGGCAAGCAGAATGATTGGAAAGAAGGAAATAAAGCTGTTACCTGACAGGTAACAAGGTTGCATGCATTTTAAAAACAAGTTATTACAAATAATAAGAGGCTAGCAAGATGGGTAAATAGAAGAATGGTATATTAAAATCTGTTGTATTTCATTCTGTATTAGTTACTTTCACATAGCCATTACCAAAATACCTGCGAGAAGAACTTAAAGGAAGAAAGATTTATTTTGGCTCACAGTTGCAGAGGGTTCAGTCCATGATGGCTTGGCCCCATGCACTGGGGCAGAACATCATGGCTGCAGGAGTGTGTAGCAGAAGAGGCAAAGACCAGGGACGAGGTGTAACCTTCAAAGCCACACTCCCAGAGCACCACTTTGTCCAGCTACGCCTCTTCTCCTAAAGTTTCCACCACCTCCTAGAATAACACCACCAGATGGGAACCAAGCATTTGATACACAAGTCTGTGGGAGGACATCTCATGTTCAAACCATAACATTTTCTATACACCAATCAGAAATAACTAGAAAAGTTATTGATATTTACAGTAGTCTCAAAGAATATCTAGTATCAAGTAGTAAATTTGGTATGCACTACAGGGAAAATTAAAAAATTCCTTGATGAAAAATGCAGAACACCTAAATTTATAGAAAAATATACCATATTTTTATAGAGCAGGGGTCAACATATTTCTTTCTGTAAAGGGTCAGTTAAATATTTTCAGTTTGGGGGACCATATGGTCAAGTTGCCACTACTCAACTCAACTCTGCCATTGTACCATAACAGCAACCATAAAGAAGATATAAAATAAATGGCTGTGTTCTCATGGCTACAGTTTGCAATTCCTAATATAGAGGAAGAATTAGTATTGTGGAAATGGTCAGTTCTTCCTAAAATGTACCAAAGAGTCAATTCCAAGCAAAATATATATATGATTTTTCATGGATATAGATAAAGCTAGTGGAAGAATAAAGTATAAAAAATAACTTAGGTAATTCTGAAGAAGAACAAGGAGGCAGACTTGCCTTATAAAAACCAAGATGTATCAGGCCAGATGTGGTGGTATACCCACACATCTGAATGTAATCCCAGCTATTTGGGAGGTAGAGACATAAGGATTATGGTTCAAAGCCAGCCCAGGCAAAAGTTAACAAGACTCTTTCTCAAAAACAAGCTTGGTGCTACTTAGAAGGTAGAGGTCGGAGGATCAGGGTCCTGGACAAAGTTAGCTTGTACCATACCTGAAAAATAAAGTGAGAAAGCAAAACGATTGGGGGCATGATTCACGTGGTAGAATGCTTGCCAGTGAGGCCCCAAGTTTAATACCCAGTACCAGTTCTGCAAAAAAAAATATTAAATATGCTTAAGTAGCTACACAGTATGGGATTGGTAGGAGCCAAGAAATTGATGATGAAATGAAATGGAGCACCAAAATGAGACCCATGTGTAGAGCATTTCTGTGTGGCACAGGTGGCGAGCCTGCTGGTGGTCAGTAAAAAAAGAAAGCTAGAATGAGTTAGTGATGTAGAGGGCTTGCCTAGCATGCTCCAGGCCCTGGGCTCCATCCGCAGGTCCAGGGGGGAGAGGAGGAGGGAGCTTATCTGTGTGGAAAAGTATGACACTGGATCCCTGCCTAATGTACAAAAATCAACTCCAGATAGATTGTAACACTTCAGTGTCAAAAACGAAAATAGAACTCTCAAAGTAAGAAATAGAGGAAATACTTTTTCATACTTTGATTTTTGTATCTAGTGCCTAGTGCCCCACCTGGTTGGACATCAGAAAGATTGGGGTGAACGTGTTGAGAGCTTCGAGTGCCTGCAAGCTGCAGAGCTACTGCAGGTTTCTCAGAGGTGCTGTTTGGAAGGGTGGCGAGCAGTGGGGTATGTGGCCTCTGGCCAGAGCGGGGGCTCCTCCCAAGCCCCCAGTGGAAGACGTTTCCTACAGAATAGAGGTAGAAGGTCTTTGGCAAATGCAAGCAGGATGGGAGTCTAGTTGATTAAAGAGCAAGCTGAATGCGTTCTTTCAAAAGTAAAAATGCCATAAAGATGCAGTTTTCCTATGATTTTAGATTGCATGTCCTTGAAAGGATTTTGCTGTTGATGGATGATTCGAGATTTAGAGGTTATTAGGGTGATACTTGTTCTCTCTCTACACTGAAGAAACCTTGGCTTCGCCTTAGTTCAAGTGGAAGGGCTGTAAAACCCAACAACCTCTTACTTCAGAAACCTGAAACTTTCCCTGTAAAAAGCAAGGCATAAAACAGATCTCTTAGTGCACGTTCTCCCTTGTTCACCTCCGTGGTACCTTCAGCCTATGTGCAAACTCTCAGGGGGCTGGTGGCCACCTTTGCTTCTTATATAGGGCCATATGTCAGGTGTCCCATCCCACCTTGTCGAAAATCTCCTCGGCCTCATTAAAGCTACAGGTCTTGTTCACAAGCCATGATTTTATTCTGTTTCCAGTTTTGCTTGCCCTGCCCACCTCTAAACTAAAGGATTTCACCTTCACTTACTGTTACATAGATAAATGCAGTTCATAGAGTGAGGAGAAACCAACTAGTGGGTGTTCTTGGAGGCCCACAGTCTCAGGCATGGCAATTGTGTGAGCACCTGTGGGCCAGCCTATGTCTTGGTGGCTCTGGGACAAGTTCCAAGAATATCAGATCAGTTAGTATTTCCTAGGGACCTTGTGTAAGACACAGTTTTGTTCTTGACCCTGGACTCTTCTGACAGACTGTTCTCAAACAGGAATTTTATGCTGTTTTGGTACCAGCATCTCACACAATGTTCTGTCATGGCAAGTGATAGGGAAAAAAAGCCAATTCACTCTTCTTCCTAGGGGGCCAGGATCCCTGAGGCTCCTTGTTTATTTATTTTTTCATACCCATCATACCAACCTGTCATGCTATTCTAGGTGACAGAAATAATCATAGGAATGTCAGATAGACTTTTCAAAAAGTAATGCAGAGTTGTGAGCTACATCTCTGAAAACTGTCGTCTCTGTCATACGGTACACCCATTTGTGAGATGTGTAACTCAACTTATATCTCCTAATTCCTAGCGTTTGGATTATATCACAAGTTCCCTTCTAAAAGCAGCGTGGGTTAAAATACCTGACCAGTGCTGTCATTTCCTACGTTTGCCTCACAGCAAACGTAGCAGGTCTCTAGACAGGTGCTGCAGAGCTACATGGGGTTTTGATTCTCTAAAATATGGATACAAGTCAGCCTACTTCTGTGCAAAGCTGAGGGTAGGAGAGTTCATTAGTGCTACCCTGCATGTAACTGAACATAGAACAACTGCAGTGCTCACTCATATAAGGCAAAAAAATGCTAGCTGGAGCTTAGAACTGCCCAGCAGCACTCTAAAGATCCTGGACCTTTCCAATCCGAGCTAAGAATTCCAGAGATTTGGGACTGGAGGGTGTGGCTCAGTGGCATAACACTCTCTGGCACATGCAGAGCCTTAGGTTCATCTCTAACACTGGAAGGAAAAAAATCCCAAAAATTTAAGGCCAAGATCTCGTATGTCTTGTCCAATGTAGGACATAAGCAGGTCTCATTCCAGCTTTGGAAACTCTTAAGAGGAGTGACACTTCACTTTAGAATTCTCTTTTGCACAATGGTACTTTGGGTCTTAGTTTCTGGATTATTTAGTCATTAAATGATACCCAGCATGATTCTAGCCTCATAAGAAGCTTCTAATGATTGCAGACTTCTGTTCATAGTTGCATTGCTTTTGAAATGGTCTCAGACCATGATCTTCCTACCCATGCCTCTGACATATCTGGGACCACAGGCTTACTCCACCACCCCCAGCTTGTTTATTGACATGGGCCTTGCTAACATTTTGCCCAGGTTGGCCTCAGACTGTGATCCTCCCAGTCTCTGCTCTGGAGTAGCTCGGATTGTAGGCCTGAGCTACCATGCTCAATCAGAAATTTAGTTATCTTCTCTCAAAACATTTTTATTAGCATTTATTAGAGGTTTCACTATTACATTTCCATATATGGTGGCAGTACACCTTGATTAGGTTCATCCCCCACCCCTACTTAAAATAATTTCAACAGGTCCTGTTGTTATATTCTTATCCAAGTATATAAAGTACATCAGCTGTTTTCACCCTTTCCATTTATCCTCCCCACCCCACTAAAACCCACTCCCAACAAGACCTATTTTACATTGCAGTCTTTCATTTTTAAGCTTATATTCATTGTTCAAGGGGTTTTCTTATGGTATTTCACCTGTGAATATATCCAGTCTAGCCCCTCTATTACTCTTCTTCACATTCCCCCACCCCTACTAATCAATGGTCTCCCATATGTCTCATGCCTTCTTCTTCCACAGAAGCAATGCCTTTCAATATTATTTACTCTCTATCTTCTCTTTTGCTCTTCCTTCTCCCTGTAGTCCTTTCAAACACTCCTACTATTACATTATTATGTTTTTACATGTATAATATACATTATGTATATAATTATATGGATAAGTATAGTATATTCAATCATGTTTGTACTTGTGTATACATTTGTCTCATAGGTCTGTGTTCCACATATGAGAAAACATACAGCTTTGACTTTTTGAGCCCAGCTTACTTCACTTAACATGATAGTCCCCAGTTCCATCCGTTTACCTGCAAACATGATTTCATTCTTCTTTATGGCTCAGTAATAATCCATTGTGTACATATATCATATTTTCTTAATCCATTCATCAGTTGTAGGGCATCTGAACTGTTTCCATAGCTTGGCTATTGTGGATAATGCTTCAATAATGGGTGTGCAAGTGTCTGTATTATATCCTGACTTAACATTCCTTCAGATACATGCCCAGGAGTGGAATTGCTGGGTCAGTTCTATTTTTGTTTTTTTAGGAACCTTTATCCTGTTTTCTATAGTTGTTGCACTAATTTACTTTCCACCAACAGTGGGTATTGAGGCTGTTGTGAATGGGATTATTTTCCTGATATCTTTCTCAGTCTGTTCATTGTTGGTGTATAGAAAAGCTACTGATTTTTATATGTTGATTTTTTTTATCTTGCTACTTTACTGAAAGTGTTTATGATGTCTAAGAGTTTTCTGCTGGGTTTTTAGGATCCTGTAGGTATAAGATCATATCATCTGCAATTAGGGATATCTTGACTTCTTCCTTCCCTATTTGAAAAATTTAGTTATCTTAATATAGGATTACCAATCTGTATTATATGATGAGCCAATCCTTAGCTGGTTTCAAAAATTATTTGTTCACTAAGATATTGAGGGAGTAGAGAGCTTCCTCTTGGGATTGTGGCAGGACCTGAGAGTGAGGCACCGTCCCACAGTGGAGAATGGAAGGGTCACCCAAAGCGATGAGATACTAAAGCCACCCAGGAGGGCAAAGCCCTCCTGGCGATTACCTCTCACATGTCCCACCTCTTAGTATTGGTACAATGGCGATTGAATTTCAACATGAGTTTTGAGGAGACACATTCAAACCACA